CGCCTTCTTTGTGGCCAGTTCGGAGCTGAGCGATCGCTGTCTTCGATAGATAGCCGCAACGAAATCCGCATCGAGATCTTCTTACGTTCTTATGCCCGAGAATTAGCATAATATACTCATTCTTCTTACAATAATAAAATCGACAGACGCAATGCATTACGCCTACCCACCGCGGAAGGACTCCCATCCGCCGCCCTTTCGACCCAGACGATCGCGCATGCCCATGATAAGGCGAAGCCAAGTCAAGACGATAGCCCTGTTCCTCATATTCGTCCTCGGCATCATATTTCTGTTTTCTGGCAGCTCGAAACAAAAAGCGAGGTCACGCACAATAACGGGCAAGCCTCCGGTTGTAATAGTGACGGTGTTTGACGAGAAATATGCGAACACGGCATATTCAATGCAAATAAAAGACAATAGGCAACAATACGCCGACAAGCATGGTTAGACACCTGCTTTCACATCCAGATCATCACGGTCTAACAAACATCTAGGATACAAACTACTCATAGCCGAAGCCGAAGACTACGAACTCCTTGGCGCACCCTCATCGTGGGCAAAAGTAGTAGCCATGCGACACGCCATCACTAAATATCCCGACGCCAAGTACATATGGTATCTCGACCAGCACGCCCTCATCATGAACCCGAACCTCAAAATCGAAGAGCACGTTATGAGCACGTCGAGGCTCGAGGGGTTGGTGAAGAAGAACCACCCCGTCGTGCCGCCCATGAGCATCATCAAGACATTCGACCACCAGACCCCAAGCGATGTCGATGCTGTCGTCACGCAGGATAAGGAGGGTATCGCGACAAACAGTCTAATTGTTAGGAACGGCGAGTGGGCTAAGTTCTTCCTCGATACGTGGTTTGACCCGATGTATCGGAGTTACAACTTTGCCAAGGCTGAGAGACATGCGCTGGTAAGTCATGGTCATAATCTGCGCATTATCTGCTTGTGCTGATGATTCTCACAGGAGCACATTGTCCAATGGCATCCCACTATTCTCTCCAATCTCGCAATCATACCGCAGCGAACCATCAACGCTTACACGACGACGAAAGAGGGCGCACAGTACAAGGACGGTGATCTCGCCGTGACTTTCCCGGAGTGTACGGTCTCTGGAGATAAAAGCTGTGCCAAAACGGCAGAGAAATACGCACAGCAGTGGCGGAAGGCTTTCCGTGCGAAATACTGAAAAGTAGGAGGAGATTGACGACTTCTGATTCAATGTTTGATATCAAGAGATGCTAGAGAGCGAGAGTTCAGGCATTTGGCGTTTTTGTGGACCTTGGATGTCCCGGGGCTCAGGGAGGGCCAGATAGACAGGAAAACTCTGGCATTTGACAACTGTATGGAATATCGCGCGATGCCATACGCTGCCCCTTCTTACAACAGGCTTGTTGAGATAAGGCCTTTATGCGCAGCTAACTAATCGGCTTTCGCATGTATTACACCCCGTCAGAGGGGACCATGTAATTGTATGATGTGAAAGTCTTTCTCGTGAAGGAGAAGGTAGACTGATGGTCATCCATGCGTACCGCATTTTGTTTTACTACCAGACATCTTTGACGGCGATTGGGCTGGTGTTCAAGTGGTTCGCCTATTGAGTTTCTCCATGATCTCTCCTGGCTGGGCAGCATAACACGTCTCGCTAAGAAGCAGATAAATGGAATGGAAACGAATACCTCATAACCAAGGGGAATTGAATTCGGTATAGGAGTTGATGGAGGGACCAATAAGGTACCCGTATTACTTGAATAAATCAGACAAGTCGAAGAGTGTAATCGAAGAGTGTACATCCGTAACACTACTAATTAGTATAGATGCCATGTTTATATCAAGCTGACCAGTCACAGCGCGGACAATTGTCAGCCATGCACGCACTCGGATCAGATAAGACATTCTGGACTCGCATTCGCAAGTCTCCATCAAAAACGCCGAGCACCCCTGCAACGGCCATGTGATGGGGCCATGTCGTACAGACCTGGAGCTCGGTTGGAAGCTCTCCAGTCCAACTTGCGGGGAGTCCTTGCTCCAAGCTACCTTGTACGTACTGCATCCTCCTTCGCCTCCGAGTCTCCGACTCAACTCTCGATATCTTCCCGTTACGAGAAAGGTGGTGGAATATAAAGCAGCAGCTTGGGACCCTGAAGTTGGTCTGATGTCTTTCCATTCTCTATCTATGACCTACTGAGACATCTCTGGAGGAATCTCAGACCGGAATTTATAAGGTATTCATCCAGTCGTTCTGATACGCCTCGGTTCGCCATCATGCCGGGCACGTCACGCATGCCTGTGAGCTTGCGCGAGAGCTTGAATAGCGTGAAGCGCTCGCGGCATGTGAATACATTGCAGTCGCTTCAATTTCTTAACCTTGACTTGTGAGTACATATTCATTCAGTATGTCAACCGCCTCTAGCAATCGGATCCAGCAGCCAGCTCCTCGGGCCAGCCAACTAGGCAATCAGAAACACACCAACATTACTCAACTCGAGTATAACCGCTGACGTGACTTGCCCTCCGCAGACTCCGCAACATTGTATTCTTCCTCTTCTGCCTGCGAATCGTCCGGCGCACGTTCTGGAAGCTCAAAGGCCGCGGCTTATTCGGGACCGTCGTCGAGCTCTACACAGATCTACGGCGCATACTCTATGGCTACTTCCTCCGCGCCCCGGGCGTCCGGACCCAGGTCCGCAAACAGGTCCAAGACTCTCTCGCGAAGATCCAAGAGAAGATGATCAAGCCCGATCGCATCCGCTACCTGGCTCTACCGAAAGAGGGCTGGACGGACGAGGCGCTGCGCACGGAGCTGGACACTTTGGCCACGATGGACCACACCCGATGGGAAGATGGATATGTGAGCGGTGCCGTGTACCATGGCGAGGATGAACTGCTGCAGTTGCAGACTGAGGCTTACGGGAAGTTCACCGTCGCGAATCCGATCCATCCTGATGTCTTCCCGGGGGTGCGGAAGATGGAGGCTGAGGTTGTCGCCATGGTATTAAGCATGTTCCACGCTCCGCCTAACGCGGCCGGTGTCTCGACGAGTGGTGGGACAGAGAGTATCCTGATGGCATGTCATAGTGCGCGGCAGAAGGCACTTGTTGAGCGTGGTGTCACTGAGCCCGAGATGTACGTCTTCGCAACTCTCCACCCCGCTGCACCAGTTTCAAAGTCATACTAACAACACGCCCAGGATCATCCCCGAAACAGGCCACGCAGCATTCCGCAAAGCAGGCGAATACTTCAACATCAAAGTGCATCTCGTGCCCTGCCCCGCACCATCCCACCAAGTAGACACCCACCGCGTCTCCCGGCTAATAAACAGCAACACGGTGCTGCTCGTCGGGTCCGCACCCAACTTCCCACACGGTATAATCGACGACATCGCAGCGCTTTCCAAACTCGCCCTCAAGCGCAAACTACCGCTGCACGTAGACTGCTGTCTCGGATCCTTCCTCGTCCCATTCCTAGACAAAGCAGGCTTCGAAACCGAGCCCTTCGACTTCAGACTAAAGGGCGTGACGAGCATCTCCTGCGACACGCATAAGTACGGGTTCGCGCCCAAGGGCAACTCCACGGTCCTCTACCGATCGCAGGAGCTTCGCACGTATCAGTATTTCGTCACCCCAGATTGGTCAGGCGGCGTGTACGCCTCCCCGGGCATCGCGGGCTCGAGGCCCGGCGCGTTGATAGCCGGGTGCTGGACGAGCATGATGCGCGTCGGCGAAGCGGGGTATCTAGATGCCTGTGTCAAGATCGTGGGATGCACCAAGAAGATCGCTGAACACATCACTACGTCCCCCACGCTCGCCGCGGAGCTAGACATCATCGGAAGACCGCTCGTCTCCGTCGTGGCGTTCACGGCGCGGGATCTGAATATCTACGATATCGCGGATGCGATGAACGCCAAGGGCTGGCATCTGAATGCCCTGCAGAATCCCCCTGGGATGCACGTCGCGGTCACGATGCCGATTACTAAGGTTTGGGAGAAGTTGATGGCGGACTTGGAGGCTGTGGTCGAGGCCGAGAGGGAGAAGGAGAGGGTCAGGGCGGTGGAGGGCAAGCCTAGGGGTAAGGCTATGGGGGATTCGGCGGCGCTGTATGGTGTTGCTGGGTCCTTGCCGAATAAGAGTGTGGTTGTTGATCTTGCTACGGGGTTCTTGGACTTGTTGTATAAGGCTTAGGGGTATAGGTGATGTGGAAGGGGTGAAAATTTGGGGATATGGGTGGAGAGGGGAGAGAAAGGGGTGGGAGTGTATGAAAGGGAACGGCAAATTCGCATTGAGAAGTGAGGCTGAGCATGAGAATGAGTGTGAGGCTGTCATGCCTGTGTATATGTTGCATTTTTAGCAAGCGTGGAATATACTGGTCTTGCGTATTATTATTATAACTCTGGTATCCGACGTCGTGATGTTTTATTGTGCGAGTTGACATTGTGTTAAGGCTGTTAGTTGCATCAGAAACCATCCTGTAACCTTTCAACAACCTTCACAAGTTTCAACATTTGCTCAATGATGTACATCATTAATTGCCGTGTATGCTTTCACTAAAACATGGCTTAACGATCGTGTCGATGGTTGTGCTATTGCTGAAGTCGGTTCCAAACATAACTGGTTGGTGGAAAGTGAGTTGGGCGATTAAACCCCTCAGTCAAGTCCGTATGTTATGTGACAGTCCGACTACCAGTGGCTGTGAGCATACCATTTTCTTTTTGTATCCTTTGTGGCTTGTCTATGTATATGCTTCCTGCATGTAGTCTTCACATTACCTCAGCCTACTTCACTCGACTTTACTTCGCCATTCATACTTGTAGACACTCCATATGAATCCGTCCAGTTTGAGTCCGTATACACGTATCTTAACACTCCAAATAAATACTAGAATAATCATGGGATTAGCCAACACTCCATTTGCCTTGCCTTATGCATACTATCTGAGCGCAATAGAGCTGTGCTATATGATGGCCGATAACGTCTCGCCGTCAATAACAAGAAGCCCGGGTCGTCTAATGGTCAAGATGGCGCAAACGGTGGCGTTCTCGAACCCAAATTCGAGAATGACGCCGTTGCGTCGACCCAGGTTCGATTCCTGGCCCGGGTGATATCTTCTTCTTTTTCATCTGTCCCTTTTTCAAATCCTTTGTCTTCTGTCCTTTGTCTTCTGTCCTTTTTTTTAACCTTTTTTTTGCTTTTTTCCCTTTACTTCTTTTTTCACTCCCCACTTTTCCCTTCCCCCCCCCCCTTTTCCGCCTTTATTTTCAATCTTCCGCTTAATAGAGAAACAGTGTTTTAGGTGATATGCGACTTCGAGATCTAGTAGGGTTCGATGCTAGAGATTCATGTATGTTTTCGTGTGTCGGTCTGTGTCGGATCCCTCTTACCATTCCTTACCTCTAGGTAGTATATTCACCTTTCTCGCTAAACACTTGACATGGTCAATAGGTAGCGACAAGCACAGACAACAAGCCAGATGGATAAGAGTAATACTGGTGAGAAACCATAGTCTATTGCTTATAAAGGGTGCGAGAGCTTCGCCCCTGAGAACGCCTATACACGCCTGTGCTGCCCGCCCCCTGAGTCTTTGCCAAATGGAAATGTGCATGGTTCTGGTTTCTAATCGCTTTGGTGTGGTTCATCCTATATTCGTTCCTCGTTCGTCATTATTCAGAACTGGGTCGCTTCGCTCTCCGATCGTTGTGCCATTTGGTTCACGAGGCAGAGTCGGTCATGGTTCCAAGGAATCCTCTGACAGACCGTGGGAGTTTCTCGGCTGACTGACGTTCGAGTGGGAGAATATCGATGCGGAAGTGGTCTATTTCTTGGCTCCTTCGGCTGCCTTCTTCGCGTTGGCTGTTGATGTTATCGTTAGGTTTCGCTGTTCTGCAAGGTGTAAGGTGGTTTCTTAGTCATGCTTACCAGCTTCCTGCTTCTGACGCATGAGGGCAGCAAGAGCCTCTTTGTCCTTGGCCATCTCGGAACCGGACTTGCTGTTCTTGCTCTTCTGTACATGTCACAACCCATGGTTAGTTTCTATTGCAAATCACCCATGTCAAGGAGATAGGTTCCGGTGAGCAAATGGGTTGCCCCTCGGAGTATAGGTAGCATGGTGCGCAGTCGTCCATGAATGGTATGAAGTGGGAAATGTTGCCTTTCACCAGACTGCGCCGACCGACGCGAGTCACTGAGTGGCCGTGGAGGATTTTTGTAGTTTTCTCGTGTTCCTGGGTGTGCGAGGGATGCGTATGGGAAATAAGGGCATCGTCTTACCACTGAGGCCGCGGCCTTGAGGTTCTTCTCACGCGCCTTGTCGCGCTGATTACCACGAGCCATTTTCGGAAAGAACGGGAGAGATCGACAGATGAGGGGTAGGAGGGGAGAAGCGAGCGCTTGATCAAACGTGTTTGTCGCGGTTGAGATCGAAAGGAGTGGCCAAGGAGAAAAGAGGGAGAATGTGGAAGAGGCGGTCGGAGGTCGGAATTTACTGAGAACTAATAAAGACTGGTGCAGCGGAATGAATCAATCTGGACCCCTCGACCATTCATTGTCCTGCGGCGTGCGCCAAATACATCCGTGCAGTACCTAGCGACTCCAACTTAGTGGGGTCTATTAGCGGGCGCAAGGGTCTCTCTCTCAGCGGCTGTTAAGGCCTGTGGACTCGCTCAAGCGCGACAGTTCCCTGTCCAATCGAATTAGACGCCCGTTTCGACGCCAGATGCGAAGTTCTCCCTGTCATTTGGCGATTGTTGAAACGTTCCTCCTTCGAGAACTGCAAATCGACCTTCAATGGACCTCGAGCATCGATCCGTCACTGTACAGACTACTATCATGAGAGCTAGATACCTATTTCCCCCTCATGGCTGCTGAAGCCAAAGCCATTTCGTAGCTACAACGATATACTTTTGCCCCTTCTTCAACGGCTTCTGGACGCATTTGATAGATACCAGCAACAAGGCCCACGGTTGTATCCAAACAATGCGCCAGGATCACCGGGAGATGCACTTATCTACCTTTTGTTGCGGTACGATTTACTCATTAGTATCAACTCTGTCGCGAGTTACAAAGTCACAGATGCGCAAGGTAAGTGGGCAGGAGGGTCAAGACTGATTTAGACATTCTCGGCGCTTGGCTTGTAGATGCCCTTGTGGATGGCATCCGAGTACTTTGGGCGTTTCAGGTAGCAAGCGCTGCATCTTCTACCTCAGTCCGACCATAGGCAGCATATCTGCTCGCATGCAATAGCATCACCATGTGCAATTTTGTATATTGTCATTGGCAAACCTTTTCCTGGCCTGCAGAATTCGAGATGCTTATCTCCCAAGATGGCTCATGTCTTGGGGCAATCTGAACAGCATGGTTCAAACAACAATTTACACTCATAGAATTCTCCGGTACGAAAGCTCGTTAGGTTCTCCCTTCCCTCGGAGAGTAGCTCGCAAAAGCAGGCCTTCGTCAGAATGTTCCAGATCTGTCAAGTCTGAGACCTCTTTAAAGTCGATGGAAAGGGATCCGACGGTGGGGCATCAACGGACGTTGGCTGAAATGTGGACTGAAACAGTGTTGGGAGCCTCTCAGCCAATCATCCGACGGTCAGGAACCATCTTGCCACAATGCATTGTACCGCACGGTCTGGCAGAGGGCCTTGTGCGAGCCCACCATTGGGTTCCACGACAATGCCCTTGATCATGGTGTGAAGAGCGAGCGAGGCGAGTATTGTAGATGTCAGGTACCTGAGTCATCTGGAGGCATGGGTGCCTTGCAGTCTTGTGGTACCGTAGCAGCGCCGTCACGATGTTGCGGTACGTGGACGGTCCCGACTGGCGATTCGCCACGAGATGGATAGACAACTCACTCCACAGCGAACCACCCCACGCCCATCGTGAACTTGACCAGTTCGACGGGCCCATGTGGTCTTCACTCGTCAATGGCACGCCTCGGCCGACAGGCTCTGACGGGGTATTTTTGGGTGTTGATGGAGGAATGAGACCTTTCGCGCCCGACCAGATCGATTGGCCATTGACGAGTTTGCCCTCTGGGGAACACCGTCCACTTCCTATGCGAAACATTCAATAGCATGGCCATCGGTTCATGTTGAATCCCCGGCACTCCTTGCTGCTCTGCTGTTACATATTAAATTCATCCGGCCGCCTGTGACTGCTCTTCTGAAAGGGATGTTCCATCTCTCATTTGTTTCCATTTCTTCCCCCTTCAGGTAACGTAGAGTTCTAGAGCTGCCGGCCCGCCTGGACACCCTTTGATCCCACCCTCGCCCACCGACGACCAACTCACGACACACATGTACACACTACACTCTCTTTGTCCCCGACGGGCAACAATAACAATTTCATCACCACAAGGCTCGCCACCTTTGACAATCTTGACCTCCATTATCCTGTCCATCCGTGACACCTTTGACGTTACATTTTTATTGTTCCTCACTCTTTGAACGACTTCATTATCTACGTATTCATAAATATCAGACCCTCGTCAAACGTCGGCACCGCCTCCACGCTCTCTCGATCGACCCTTTACTCCCACGTTACCATTCAATTTTGCACCTTCCTTTCGTGCCTTGCGACTTTGCATCTGCTAGCCAGATCTTCGACACAAGTATCAAATACAGTGAATTTACTTCATAACTTCATATTCTACTTACATTGCTACTGAGCTATCTTAAACGTTGGTCTACCACATCACAACTCAGACCATGCCAAAACTAGAACCTCCCCCAACTAACGCACCTGATGACAACCAGCACGAGGTTGATCCCAACCTGGTCATCAAGAAACCTATCGCCATGCTGGGATTCAAGAGCAACTCGGACTTCCAGGGCCATGCCTACATCGTCCTCCAGGTCATGCGCTTCTGCAATGTCGCCGTTCTGCTCGCCGTCGAGGCCGCCACCGTGCTGATGCTCATCTACGCCAAGCTCCCTAATGGCTTTCAGTTCTTCGCCGACGCCGTGCACGCCCTTGTCTTCGTCTTTGCCGGGCTGCTCATCTTCACCGAGATCGGGTTCTGGGAGACTGGTATGAACTTCGTCGAATCAGCCTATCCCATGCTAGGAAATGATCGAGGATTCACGGGACTCGGCGCCATCATGGCACTTATCGGCTGCCATCTCCTCGGTGGACTCGCGAGCACCACCTACACCAACGACTCGGTGCCCTCACAGGTCCCACAAGTCGTTCTCGGCGTCGGTATCGTCACTCTCGCCTTCGGCATCTTCAACATCATCGCCTCGCTCCTTTTCCGCAATAGGGCCGGTGACATGAGAGCTCGCAAGGTCAGGGCAGAGGGGGCTATCAGCAAGCCCAGAAGCGCCAGCGGCACCAGCGGCACCAGCGAATACTCCCGAAGCAACTCCGTCAAGAAGATCAGCGGTCCCATACCCCATGGTGACCTCGAGGCCCAGCACCATGGATACTACGGCGGCGGGGACTCAGATGACAAGTCTTCCGCATACGGCACAGACCTAAGTCGCAGCCCCGTTGCACCCCAAATACAGCGTCCTCCTTCCGCTCTCCATCCCATAAACCGCAACACCCACTACAGTGCCGCAACTCTACCTTACGAGAACGCCATGTAAAAGGCGGCCACATCACGGCTGAGGCATGTCTCATCGACTGCGTGTTCAGGCGGCTAGGCGTTCGTTGTATATAGGGAGGAACAACATTGCATTTCCGGAAAGGGCGTTACAGGGCTTGGAGTTTGGGGGTTTCCTTTAATACCCCTTGGATTTCGTAGGCGGTGCTATGACGGCACTTGGCAGCCTTTGGTTTTTTACATGATTGCTTTTGCAAATCTCAGAGATCATTTAGTCTCAGACATATATTCGCTTCTGCTAGGAAAATATAATCTTCAGTGGCACCTTTCGTTATCTCATTGCGATGTGAGAAGTTGAGCGCTGTGATTGGCTGTTCCTTATCAGTCGCGTGTATGCTCTTACCTCTTTTTCCCATGTTGTTGTTGTTGGGTCTTACCCACACCTTGCTTCTACTGGAGATTGTGTGATTACGCATCATTGCTGTTGAGGACATCTGCACACGATGTAGGATCTCTATACCCAGGTCAATTTTCCGATGTGAGGGTAGCGTAATGCGT